TACAAGATATATTAATATTGTTGATATTTACAGACAGTAAAATAGTCGAATAAAAAATATAATATTATTTTTTTAAGTTAAAGTCTACAAGGTATATTATTATTGTTTATATTTATAGTAAATATCAACCTAAATGTAATTTACAAGATAGTTAAATTTATTCTTAAGGTTTATAATGAATTAAAAATAATTAATATAATAAAAATGATTATCAAATTAAAAATTTTAATAAAATTTATTCTAATGGATTTTAATGAATTCATAATTTATAAATACAATACAATTAATAAAAAAATATATATAATGTAATTTACAAGAATCATATAATACAAATGATTTTTAAAATTACTTGTAATTTATAGGATTATTAAAGGTTATTCGTAAAATGTGAATGAAACAATAATTATTTTTAAATTAATGTTTATTTTATGAATTCCGATAAAGTTCATTTTTAATATATATAATGAGATTTAAGTTTAATATGAAATCATTTAATAATAAAATACTATTCAAAAATCAAAAAATACTTTTTATTTTTAGATAAAAAATTTGAAAATAAAAATAATTATTAATCAAATTTAATTATTTACTAATAATATGCTCATTAACTATTCTTTTTAATGGAGTTAATTAATTAAGAAAATTTATGACCAAAATTAAGATTAAAATTAGGTGAAATTTACTAAATTGAACTACACTACCTAAAATCTCAATTTATATAGAGATAATCTTTACTATTTTCACTTAATACAATCATTTTTATTTGGTTTAATTAATTATTATATTGTATTTGATGAATAAAGAAATTCTTCCTATAATATTTCTTGAAAAGCAAACTCATAAGCAACTTCTAGGGACATCCAAAACATAGCTAACCTTTAAATATGATAAGACTGGGTCAATAACTCAATATATTAAAAGCGATAAGCATTCACAAATAAATTAATATTTAAAAACAGAAAATGACTCATACGACAATATGGTCAGTTAGTTGCATTAGTAAAGATAACTTAGATTACCACCCACTTAAGTGATTAATTAATTGAGAAGATAAAAAATGAGTGTTGACAAAATTCCTAGACCAAAGGCTAAGAAAATGCCTAGACCCTCTTATTAAATTAACCTTAATACAAAGGATAAAACATAACTCTAATAATAGATCTGCAATTATGTTTAATAAGCAAATAAGTTATAATAATATAAACTATCATAAATTCATTCAAGAAGACAGGACTTCAAGCCATATTTTAATTTTGAAGAATTCTCATATATGGATGAGATTTTTCCTCATTCAAATTTAGTGAAAAAGAAATTTGGGTTAAATGAATAGATTATGTTTAGAAATTCGATGGGCTTGGAGAAAGTTATATTATAAAGAATTATATAAGCTTAATAGGATGATTGATTTTAATTCTATCCACATAATATCAATTATGCTATTTTTTGGCTATATTTCCATTAAATCTGATTTCTCATTAAAAATAATAATATAATTATAATAATATATGACTTTATTTTTTCACAAAATACTTGATAAGAAATTAGAGAAACAATTCATCCAAATACAAAATCAATAAACACTTACAATTCAACACAATTAAAAAGTATTGATTTTATTATTGCTTCTTATATTTGCAATTTAAAAAGGCCTAGAAAATAATTGGTCCTCTTTTGCTTTTAATGCTTTTGGATTGATTTTTATCATAGTTTCTTATAAATATGTGAACAAAACATCAATTTACTATAAATACTTATTGCTTGTAATAGTAGAGCTTTTTAATTTTTTTTACCCTTTCAATCGGCTAATGAAAATCCCACCAAATTAAGATACTTACTTAGATGGTTATTTTATTTGCTTAGGAACTCTTGCGTAAGATTTTAACTCAAACTTAGAATTATAAATTCATTCGACATTAAAACTCGGTATTTAATGTTAATACCAATATTTGGTTTTAATTTAGCAGCTGACCCTCATGAATCTAATCTTTTTTGGTCTTAAGTTTTTAAATTCTCTTTAATGATACTACTTGATATTTAGTATAAGTTTCAGCAAGAAATTATTAGAAGAAAATAATTTTTGAAATTATCCTGTAAAGCTATTGTTTAGAGTTTTATTGAAAAAGAACAAATGATTGAAACATTTTAAGTTTAATATTGCGATGATTCTAAATAGATTTAACTGATCAATGAAAAAACAAAATAAAGAGTTAATGAATTTTAATAAATAGATTTTAAATAAAAAATAAGAAATGTAATTATTCGCCCGAAATCAAAAAGATTAGAAAATTTGATAGAGGATAATATTTTTAATTTTTCAGGAAAATTATCTCTAGAATTGTTTTTATTTTATTTTCTAAATAAGACTTAAAAAGTTAATGATGCTAGATTGGTTGAATTCTTGAAAAAGCATAAACAGAAAGTTGAATTAGATGGAATGATTGATGAAACTTTAAATGTAATTAATATGAATAAGTTTAGCAAATTGTTGTTTATAAACTTCATCATCATACTCATCCATAAGCTTTGGTAATAATAAAATAGTTATAAGTAAAAACTTAAATAGAATAATTGAAACTTAAATATGAAAACTAAAATCTCATAATAAAATATTTGATGAATATTCTTAATTGTTCTTTAAGATTATGTATGAATGATGCATCGTTTATTAATTAGAAAACAAATTTATAAAAGTTGTCTTTTTAAGTTTAAAAAATATTGTTTAAGCAATAAAGTTAACTAATAAAGGCTTGGAATTAATTTACAAATCTAATCGATTTTGTTTAGTTATCTTGTAATGTTAATCCTTTAACATCTTTTAATATCATTTAGCTAATAAATTCGGTAATTTAGATAACAAAAAATCTTATTCCTGAAAATAATATTTAAATAGAATTAATTAATAAATTATAATGTCAATAAATTTATTCAAATTCTGGTAAAGTTAAGTAATTATTCTTAAATTTATTATTTTATATATACGAAAAAAATCCACATCAGATAACAATCACTTTATTAGAGGAATAATTTGATTTAAATAATACTTTTACTATCACAATAAATTATAAAAGCTAAATTAAGATCTCTCAAAGAGAATTACACCATTTTCCTATTATTAATCCATTAAAATTTAAAGATTTTTAGCATAATATTAAGAACAGTATGTACCTTGAAATTCCAATAAGCATCTTTATTGTAAGATTATTAGGGCCAAAGAATAAAATCATCATGAAAAAGTAATTTTAAGAATGTACATTGCAATTCTCATTGTATAAACTTATTTAATCGGACATGCAATTATAGAAAGCATTAAATTTAAAATCAGAAAATTAGATCATTGTTTAATCAGAAATCCAACCCATCCATACTTAATATATTTCCATTTAGCATTTAAATCAAAAAAATTATGAAGAAGGTTGATATAAATTGTCTTTATTTTTTAATTTATTCATTGCAAAATGCTGTTAAACCATTAATTTAAAAATATTTCTTTTAGAATTTGATGTATTCTTACATAATAGATTTTTATCTGAAATTGTATCGATTTTTCACAATGTGTTAATTATCTAAATAAATATTTTTAATTTTTATTAAATATAGGTTTTGTATTTCTAGATATTTTATTTATATTAGTATAGAATAATAGTAGTAATTTAGCTTTTTAAACTTTTTTTCTTAAATATCGTACCTTTGCTTATAATCCTATCCTTGGACTTTTTGATACAAATGAAATGTTATTTTTAAAACATTGAATAATTATTTACTAATTTTAAATTATTCATATAAAAAATGTAAATCTAACTTCTCTTATTTAAAATCATCATCAAATCAAATTAAAATTTTAAACGAGAGTATGAGATGAACTTATACAATTGTTATTGAATTTAAAATAATAACTAAAAAGCAATATTTTATTAAAAACAAATTTACTGTGTATGAGCAAGTTTAAGAAAATAGGCAAATGAAAGAGTAAGGAACTTTTTGTTGTTCATGATCTGAAATGTAAGGTTAGTTTTGATTTATTGAAAAGAACTAATAATTATATAAATTTTTAAGTCCATTAATATTTTAAATAATGGGAAGTTGTGTTGGGTAGAATAACATTCAAAGGCAATAATCAAATTAAGTAAATCAGTAGATTCCTGAGAATATTCTGTCTTCAGAAAAGCATGAGAGGATTGTATAAATAGTAAACACTCATCGATAGTGCAAAGTGTAAAGAAAACTAATAAAATTGAATAGAGAAGTAGAAAATGGATTTGAATAATAATTTATACCAAAAAAAATAAATAAAAAATAATGAGTTAATAATGTTCTAATAAATATGCTTATAATCAAGAATTATATGAATAGCAATTGGATAAAATAAAAAACGAAATAGAAGCCTAAGATCAATTCATTATTACTTAGCCAATAGAACTATAAATATTAGAATCAGAATACTTAGAAAATTAAGGATTTCTTAAAAAGATTAATGTATGTGATTAAAAGGAATTTTAGAAAATCCATCAATCATATCCATTTTTAGAATAATGAGGAGAGAGGGTAGCTGCTTTTATAGAGCAGTTCTGTTTAGAATATGTTCAATCAAAAGATTAGCAAATATTAAATAAATTAGTATTATCATTTCCAATTCAGAGGCAGACTTATCAGCTGTTGGATATGAATTAATTGTTATTGATGATTTTTATGATGTTAGTTCTTTAATATATAAAGGATATTATGAAATATATAAAATTATGTCCAAACAAGATTACTATTTAAGGGATAGTAGATGCATTTTGCAATAAAGCACCATCTGATTATCATATTATGTATATGAGAATGATGACATTTGGTTATATCAAAGCAAATTTATTTTTATTTGAAGGATACTTAGAAACAGGAACAGTTGTAGTATTTTGTTAATGATGTTGATCCAATTGATAAGGAAGCAGATTAAGATATAAAAATTATTTAAAAAGGATTTATATCATAGCATTGTAGAACTACTTACAAATTCCAATTAGGATATTCTATTTGGATGGGAATATTGCCACCTTCGATGCCGCAATTTTTTAAATTCCAGAAGATCTGCATCTTCTGGAATTCTATATTTATTAATTTATTTTACAGACGTGGACATTATGACATTCTTTATCCAAAATGATGTTATATATTATCATTTTCATTTTTACAATAAAATAATTATTTTGATATTCCATCTTATTTTTTATGTTGGTTGTTATAATAAGATGTTTTAAGAGATCAATTTATATTTTTTTAATAAAGGAATCTCTTCTATTTCTTAGTTATTATATGATTAAATTAAATAAGTTAAATGGCAAAGGATATTGAAGAATATTTTATTAAAAGACTTTAATCCTATCTTTTAGAATATTTGTAAGATTTCTCATAAAACAACATGGCTAAAGTAATGAGTCCCTTAATTTAAGTTTTCTTTGGGAGTATCTTCAAACATTGTGCTGAAGAATTTGTGCATCAAAAAGTAAGCATTACTCAATTTCAAATTTCCATTATACATAATTGATGGTAAAATCAATTAGATTACTCTTAATGTAAGTTTCATCAATTTTATTGTTTAAAGATGCCTTTGAATTACAAAAAACAACAACCAGAAATAATCATAGAAGGAATAGACCTGCAAGTTTGTACTATATAAGAGGCTAATTAAATTGCAAAGAACAAAGATCGTTAGACTCAAGGAATTGATAATTTGAAGAAACATAAACTTAAATTGTGGGAAGAACAAATGGCAAAATATTTTGAAAAACTATCTCCACCAAATTGGATATAAAAAATTGTCGATGGAATATACAATAATTTAACAATAACAATTAAGTAGTTTAATCTAAGATTCTTTAATCATTCAATATTTGGTTATGAAACAATCTTACGAGTTAAATTTGATGCCTAAATTAAGGCGACAGACAAAGAGTTTAAATAAATATTCAATAGTGATCTTAATTCCACCTATAAGTTAATTGAAATCAAAAAACTAAGTATCTAATTTAAAAATGATCCTTCCACCATTCTTTAAAAAAAAGAAGATTAAATGATCTTAACACCAATAGATATAGAAATCAAATATATTAAAAATAAAAATTATGAACAATTAACTCAACCAATCTAAGTTTTATAAATAGTTGTAAAATCTCCAATTATTATTCAATTGAATAAAGAATAAAAAGAATATTTAATTAAATTAAATGAAACACTCTCAAGTTAAGAAGTGATTTAAGATAATTATCATTTAAGACCAACAAAAGATATTAAGAATGCTTATTCAGAATGGTGGAAATATTTCATTAAATCTGTTATCCTAAAATAGAAGAGTAAAAAATTAGATTTAGGTTATTCATCAAAAAAGCTTGTGTTAATGAAAAGATACATAGAATTATATAAAAGAAAGTAAACTATTATTTTAGTTCCATGGCTATCATCATGGACAGCTAAAGATGAATCTAAAATAGCAAAGTGTGAAGAAGATCTATCTTTAAAGGACTTATTAAAGTATAGAGAATGGGCATTTCAAGAAATTAGGATAGAAGCTAAAAGATATTATAATTCATCAAAAGATGGACAAAATAAATAAAGCGTTAAGCCATTATTAGAAATTTGGACTAATACCATCAATAATCAAAATTCTTTTAAAGATCATTCTAAAAGAAATGATGATATACCAATTGAATTAGAAGGAGATGAAAAAATTAGTTTATATGAGATTTTAGAAAGAGATAAAACAAACGTCTTATCAAGTTATTTAAAAGGGGAAAATAATCGTCCTGATTAGATTAATATTTAATTTACTTTAGATATACATTCTATTTTCATTTTATTATTTGAATCTAGAATTGCAAATTATGTCAAATATACTCCTGAAAATACAAAGATATTTTAATTTTGTCAATGTAAATATCATATACGTTTGTTAAAAAAGGCAGCGTATTCTAGAAAGAAATCAAGATAATCTTCTCATATAAATACATTAAATTAAGTTTACTAAGATGCTTAGAAATAAAATGAAGAGAAGTCATTTCATACAGCCAAAGAAGTGGACAGTTTTTATGAAGATATTGAGGATTTAAATGGAGTAGGATCTATTGTTTCTTAAACATCTAATAGTTTTGAAAAATTCAATAGCTTCGATTCGAAGTAAATTAATGATTAACAATTTCATTAAAAATTTGTGTTAATGATTAATTTTATAGGTATAAGGGTACCTTTAAATATTTATTAAAATGGAGCAATTTAAACTCCATCTATTAAGAAAACGAAAGAACTGTTAGATAGAATTTATATTGGAGATATTAGAATAATAGCTCCAGGAATGTTATTAAAAGTAATGGAAGAAAAGGATAATTTGACAAGCATATAATCACCTTTGTTCTCTGATATAAACTAATAAACATCTTCGTTAAAGCATCTTTCCTCGTTATAAATTTAGTAATAATAGTAATAATAATAATAATAATAGTAATAATAATAATAATAATAATAATAATAATAATAATAATAATAATAATAATAATAATAATAATTTTTATCATAATCATAATGTTAATAATAGTAATAGAACAATAAAATAGAATAATCTGAAAATCCCCAGAAATATTAACATATAAAATATTCAGATTTCTTTAATGAAATTTTTGAGATTTCAATTAATAATGACTCATAACAATTTCTAAATAGTGAACTTTGTTATTAATTATTGGGTGAATTTTTAAAATAAAATTTAATGGGAAACGTTAAATCCTTTTTAGATGATTATGAAAAAGATAAGAATAATTTCCAAGATTTTACTATAGAATAATTTAAATCATATGATAAGTATTTTGATGATAGATAAGAATAAGAAGATAATTGTTTTATACATATATCAAGATAATAATATTCTGAAAAAAAATGGGAATTTATAAGGAATGCAGCAATATCTTCTTATGAAAAAGATAAACAAAACCATTGGGTATAATGTGATAATAATGATAAAAGTTTATTTATATCAGATGCTCACAATAAGCTAGTCGACATTATCAGAAGAGTCTTGTTTATACCTTTTATAGAAGAATATGGAGAAATTGTTCTCCCAATTTGTATTTACAATCTAAAGGAGAAATTAACATTCCCAAATATGTCAATATCAAAATAGAAAGAAGTTTGTACATTGTAGATTTGTATATCCCTTCAAGGTGAAAAATCTGAATATAGAATCATTTCAAATAGTGATTAAAAGAAAGGATTGGAAAAAGAAGGTACAATTCCGATTTAATCGGCATAATATAGTGAAATAATAATTTAGTTGCACCCTTTCTAAACATTACTATCAACAAAAACAGTGTCTTCTTTATTGCATTTTATGCAACATTAAAAATAAGAAATATTTAAATCTCCTGCATATAGATAATGTAAAGAAGATCACAAATTACTAGAATGTATTGTTAAAAGCAAACCTTTAAATAAAGTAGTTTAGATATAGCCATAATGGAAATTCTCTTTAAGAATGGACGGAAAATAAAAAGTAAAAATAGTTTCAGATTCTATTTCTAGTAAGATTAAGACAGAATTAAAGTTTCAATTAAAAAATCTTCTAATTTAAACAGTCAATTTAGATGACACAGAATATCACAATTGTTTTTAAATATTTACTTAATAAAATAAGTCTACTTTTATTCTTTAATAAAGATATTATTCTGTTAAAAAAGCAGTAGTTGAAAAAATATCAATTGCTCACAAATATTTTTCAATAGATTATAAATATTATAATGAAGAGATTAAAAATTATGAAAAACAAATGTAAGGACCAAAGAATGGAAGAGAATAATTAAATTCCCCTTCTTAGTATTAATAAAATAAAAATTCAAATCGATAAGGGTAGTCATCATATCAAATTAAACATTCAGCCACATTAAATTAAGAATAAAAGATATAATCAAATATGGCAAGTTAAACTAATATAAAATCTTAAAATAAAATATCTGGAATAAAATCATAAATATTGAAAACCTAATTGATTTTATTTTAATTAGACTCTTTAATCTAAAATCATCCTTTATTGACAGATAGAAAATTATATATTTAATTTCCATCATTAGATTTATAAATAAATGATTCTCAGATTTGCTTTATAGAGCTTTTAATGATATTGAATAAGAAATTAGAAAGTTAAAATCAAAAATAATATTCTGAAGTCAGATATTCAATGAGTAAAGATAGCTTAATAAAGGCAGAATTATAATTGCTATTAAATGATCATAAAAAATAAAAAAAGGATTGTAAACATTGCATTATCAAATATAAGAAGAGTCTTTAATTAAAAAATATTGTTTTTGGTGTAGTGCCAAAAATTGATAATGAAATTAATTTGTTTACATTGTTCGAATTCGAAAATTAATTGATAATTCAAAGATAAAAGGAAAGAAAGTTGAAAGAACCTGTTAATATGAAATCTAATTCCTGGTAATCATTAAAGGAAAAAAAAAGAATTGATGGAATTAGAATTTAATTTGCTAGTACACCAAAATCCACAAAAAGTACAATTTATATTACACTAATTGAAATACCATTATTTATCATTACTCATGATAAAGGATATTTTAAAGACACTATTGCTATTCATTGTTAAAAAACTCCATAATGTGGTGATGGATCTCATCAAAGCAGTATTAATAAATTTGATAAAGATAAACATGCACATACACATACACATACAAATACTCATACTCAATTAGAAAGAAATAAATCTCTTAAAGAAATGGGCCCAAAAAAATAATATTTGCCATATTCATAAGATAAAATTAATGAAAATAACCCTGATATAAACAATATTTTATTCCAACCATCATTAATAGTCCAAGAATCCCAAATGTTAGGAGATAAACTTGATGATAAATTTGTATTTTATTGCAGAAATAAAGAAATTGAAATGTTCAATTAAGAATTTATACAATATGATGATAAAGATCATATGTAATAATCTTATCAAATATCTTGTAATAATTATTATTAAGACCCTATTTATTTGTTATATTATTGTCATAAACCCTTAAGATCTCATTTGCTCTCTTGTGTAATAGATGATTTTTTCAAGGAAAAACACTCTAAAACAAAAATCTTTTTTGCAATAGATAATATAAAAGCTATTTTTAG